TGCAATGTCCCCGCAGAGGCGCAGGGGGTTAAGATGGGGAAGCAGCACAGGCAGGATTCAGACCCGCGCAGCAACTCAGAAGCCACCGCCCACCTGGCTGACCCTCAAGCGGGTAAACCAAGGCTCAAAGGGAAGGCACAGGATGGGCGGTGACAGAGCCAGGGCTGGTGTGTGGCCCCAGAAGTCTTTCTGCTTGGTGGCCCACAGGAGGCTTGCCTTGGACCCTGTCCTCCTATCAGGAAGTAAGGGTTGTTTTTGTGTTTTCTTTTGTTTTGTTCTCCCCCATTTTATGTGTGCAAAAGCTAAGACCCAGGAAGGTCAAGTAACTTGCACCAGGTCACACAGCAAAGAGAAGGCAGAGCTACCACTGGAGCCAGGCTGGCAGCTCCAGAGCAGGTGCCCGACTGTGGCGCTGAACCTCTTGTCCTTACCTGAAGAATTCCCTCCTTCCAACAGCTGGGGAGGCTCTGCCCAGATGCTGAGAGAAGTCCTAGCACATGCTGAGCCCTCCGCTGAGAGCACCCTACCTGCTGGGGCTACATGGGTGCCTTCTGCCCTCTCTGCGTTAGCCTGATGGGACTGCACCCCCATTTCCTACACCCAGGGTTTTCCTGCTAGAGGACTAAGTCTGGCTGAGTACGGACCTCCCTGCCGGCCTCCAGCCTCCGTCTGGGGCCCGGGGCACCCGTAGAGCTGCTCAGGAAGGGTATACAGGCTGCACACGGAGACCCTGATGTGCTGCCCAGGCCCGCTGGCACTGGCTGAACCAACCACAATAAAATTCTAAAACACACCTCTTATCTCCACACAGGTGACGCTTTGGATCATCCCGAATGCTGGCAGGGTGCCTGCCTCTCTCCCTCCCCCTCCACCTGGGAAGGAGGCTGGAAGGAGGGTGCGAATGCCAAGCCCCACCCCACAAAACACCCACCTCTACCTCCAGGACCCTCTCAGAGCAGCAAGTTCCAGGGGCAGCAGGTCCAATACCTCGAGCCCAGAATCATCTCCCTCGGCACCCTCCTGGGACTGTTTCGCCACCAGGATTCCTTCTGATTAATGCCAGGATTCTCTGGAAAAGTCAGCCTGGCACAGTGGCATGAACACAAGATCTTGCATCCAGAGGGCGGGGACTCAGCCGTGCCTTGAACAAATCCCTTCCTCGTCTCTGCCTTGCTTTCTCCAACCATGAGGGAGGAACGTCACTCCTTCCTACCCACCATCTTGTACAATGGTGGGAGGATTGAAAGCAGCTGATGCCACAGACACTGTGAAATTCTTACGAGCACCTTCTTGGTGGAGGGAGACGCGCCCTGCCCCACAGAGCTGGGAGCAGTGGTGGACACACTCCTGAGACCTGGCCGTCTCCCTGCCAGGCTCCGAGCTCTGGGGCCAGGTGCCCTCTAGGGCTTATCCTCAGGTCAGCAAGAAGCAGACTCCCCCCAAGCAGCTGCTGAATGAAAACCTGCCTAAATGGAAGATGATGATCTTTAAGAAATTGAAAGTGCCCGAAATAAATAAACCAAAGTGCCACCCAATAGGACAGTTTTCCAACCTCCTCTTGTCCCGAAGGACACTGTCCTCATACTAGCCAGCTTGAAGGAAGGGTCCAAAGCCCATGGAGGAAGCTGGGTGGTCAGACAGAGAGGGACGTGGAAGGAAACTTCCAAACCAGAACACCTCTTGCACAGGAAGTGGCCGAGTGGGAAGGACAAGGCACTAGGAGGGACAGGGGACTGGAGGAAGCCTCCCCCTCCCCCTCCTCCCACCCCTGGCCTGCTCATGCCCGCCTTGTCTGGGAAGGCCTGGACCTAGCTGAGCCTGGCGGTGGGAACAATGTCAGGCAGGTGCCGGCTGAGCCTCCTGAAAGGCCCAGCCCGTGTCATTGTCACAGCTCAGCCAAGTGCAGAAAAGCAATTTACTGGTCACGCCACCTGCTCCGGAGGACATTTCTAAAATTCTTCCAATTGGAGCTATCCACAGTGCCTGAGTCCTGGGGAAAAGGGTTGAAGGGATCTTATTAAATTCCCAGCTTCCCGTTTCCCAGGGTGGCTTCCAGTGAGGGCGGGACTCAGCACCCTGGGGGTGGGCGAGGACAGTGTCTAGCATTCAATGTGCTCATGGAAACGTGGCTGGGAGGAACCCGTCCTGACCAGGGCTGAGGCCTGGGGGCAGGGGGCAGACTATTCCTGAGATGGACCAGACCCCCAGGACAGCAAGGTGGGGGAGGACAGGATGGGGGGACCCCTTTCTCCGCCCAGACGACTTTCCGGGGAGGATGAGAAGTCACGCAGCTCTGTCTCGCATCATTCCAACCCCAGGGCCACTTCTTTCACAAAGGATGAAGCTAAGACCCCCAGGAAGCCATGGGCAGGGAACGATGGAGCTGGGGTCCAGGCCTAGCCCACCAAATCGCCAAGCCTTGAGCCCTGCCCACCATTCAGGGAGGTGGGTAAGCCCTGGGTGCACTGAAGGCGCTCCAACTCACTGTCTAGGTATAGGCTGCCCGCATGGAGCCACTCTCCAGTGTCCGCACAGCACCACTCCACTGGGATCAGACCCCCAACTCCTGGCAACTCCCCCCATAGGGGCTGCCCCTCATTTTTTTTTTTAAAGAGAGAGTGAGAGAGGAGGGAGAGAGAGAGAGAGAGAGAGAGAGAGAGAGAGAGAGAGAGAGAGAGAGAGAGAGAGAGAGAGAGAGAGAGAGAATTTTTCATATTTATTTTTTAGTTCTCGGCGGACACAACATCTTTGTTGGTATGTGGTGCTGAGGATCGAACCCGGGCCGCACGCATGCCAGGCGATCACGCTACCGCTTGAGCCACATCCCCTGCCCTGCCCCTCATTTTTACCACTAAGGACCACACAAAGTTTGCCCTTGAAAGGGTAAGTGGGGTTGTGGGCTGCCAACCTCACCTGAACCCCCTGGGGAACTACCTCTTTACCTTTCAGGGGTCAGAGTGTTTTCGGAATCTGTGGGTTGCTGAGAACTCTCTTTCAGACATGGCACATTTGGGCACAATTTTTTGTGCACTGTTTCAAGGACACCCCTCCCCCTATAATCCCACTCTTAGCTGTATTCCAAGGGCACGTGAACCAGCTGGAAATGCCAGAGGGGACAAAGGAGCAAAGGCAGGAGAGTGGCGTAGAGGCCCCTCACCTGCGGGAGGGCAGCCTCTGGACCTACCCCAGGCGGGCCTCCAGCTCCTTCTAATATGCTGGCTCCAACTCTGGCCCAGAGGTGGAGCTGGGACACACAGCCGGGCTCCCTCCCTCACACTCTCCTTGGAGAAGATACCCCCCCCCCGCAGCAGCCCCTCCTGGGCCTCACTTCAAGAAGAACCAAGAATGGGATGCACTCTGAAGCTCCGGCACCCATGACCAAAGGCCCCTCTTCTGAGAAGCAGGTTCCTTAGCTCCAGCCCCTGGGTCCAGCCGTCCAGAAAGGAGCCTTCCCCAGGCCAGACAAGCAGACCCTCCGCAGTGACCCTGGGGCCTGCCCTCTGCTTGGGGACTCAGCTGCAGACCAGGCAGGCCATGCCTGGCACTGGCCTCTCTCTCTGACACCAACCATTCCCCACCCGGTCCCCCACCCCCATCACTACACAGGGTCACATCTGCTTTGGCAAACAGCCAGTCTTAAGTTACTGACTCCAGTTGTATTGATTCAAGGAGTCACTGGGGACCCCAGCCTGGCCAACAGGAGGAAAGAACTCATCAGCCTGTCCCTCCAGCCACCCTCCTCCCAGCCTCAACTGGCTGCCCCCAGTTCACATCCATCCCAAGGGCACCAGTCCTCTCCTGCCACCAGCATCGCAGCAAGTGACTGCCGAGTCTCACCAACCAGCTCTCAACACACACATTCCTGGTACCAGAAATCTGGGAACTTCAATTTCCATGTGCAAGGCCGTCTCTGGGCATCTCCAGAACCCAGAAGGCTCAGGCTTAAGCACCTTCCCAACCCTATAGGGACACCTGCCTTTAAGGCAGAGGGGGAAGGGGCAGATAATCCTCTTTTGGCCTGCGTCCAGCTCCTCCCAGATCCCCTCTCTGGCCGCTCTAGGTGGGTGGGGGCTCGGGCAGCTGGGCTTCCCATTCCCTCTGCCCCCACCCCGCCATGCCGAGGCAGCCCTGGTCTGGTTCTAATCGGGCCTGAAGTCGGCTCCCTCTTTCCCTCCCCCCGCCCTTTTCCTTCATTTCCACGGCTTTGGAAGCCAGAGCGTTCCAACTGTCTGCGTGCCAAGACCTTCCCGAGTCTGAAAGCTGCTGAAGTAACAGATCAGATTTTAGCAAGTGCTTTCCAGGCTGAGCGCCAAGCCCTCTTCTGATTCACGGAGAGCAAGAGTGAACGCGGAGCAGGCGGGAACCAGCCTCGGGCTGCAGCACCTTTGGCCAGGGCGTGCGGAGCGCCGCCTGTCCCGGAGCGGCCTCGCGGACAACCTAGCCGCCCAGCGCCTCCGCGGGACCTAGACCCGGCGCTCGCTCTCCCTCTGTGGTCGTGCTCCCGCTCTTGCTCTCCTTTTCTCGCATACAAACGCCTTTGAAACCACAGAGTAATTTACAACTGCAGCTCTCTCCTTGGACTCCAAATCCTCTCAACTGAAAGGAGTCTTTTTGTTTGGAAGAGCGAACGGCAATGTTAAGGACAGTTGGCAGACAAAATTCCTAAGTCCCAACTCGTCGCTGACTTCGGGAAGGGGTCTTAGGGCCGGGCACGTTGCTGGGGCTAAGCCCACTAGCTCCAAGGGATCTCATCCCAATCGAGGCCGACAGGCGCTGCGACAACCCACGCCGGCTAGCGAGCGACAGCAGAGTCCCTTGCCCTTGGCTCATCCGCCAGCGGCGCAGGGAGCGCGCGGAACCGCCCTTTCGAGCCCTGGGAACAGGTGCACTGGGCTTGGCGCCCGGGAGGGTGGGGCACCCGGAGGGGGCGCGGCCCCGGCGAGGGGGGTCGGCTTCTGCCGCGAGGCAGAATGGGGGGGTCAAGTCAGGAGCCCACGTACCTGTACCTGGAAGCACAGCAGCAGGAAGTGTAAACACCTGCGGAGAGAGATGGAGAGGTGGTCAGTGGGACTAGAGGGAGGGGGCTTTCGGACAGACAGACACGAGGCGGAGTCAGGAGCACAGACGTGCGGGAACACGGGCAGACGGTCAAGCAGGGTGGGCAGCCCCGCACGCGGGCGCTTACAGGCAAGTGCAGGCGGAGGGCGCTGAATACATCGCTGGGCGGGGGGGAGGCGGCGGCTCCT